ATAATTTTTATATATTATTAAATAAATAAATATATTTAATATTATAAATTTTACATAAATTAAAAAAATTAATTATATCAATCATACATCAAATTATATCAAAATTATATAAAAAAATTATTTCAAAATCATTTCTCTTTATATATTGTCCATATAATTTTTAACGGAACGACGTGGCAAAAGAGTCTAATGCCAACAAGGATTTGACCATAAAGGTTTCACAGAGCGGGACCGGCCCTCCATAACTAAACTGCCCCACCGACAATTCTGAAACAGTTATTTTAACTTTAATTTCCCAAAACCGAACTATATTAAGTCTACTCAAGCAAACAATGATTAACGATGGGATGTCTTAATTAGGAAATACAAAAGGTGATGAAGAAACATTACCGAATTTCCAACGAGTCTGAACCAGAGCCAGTTCAGGGTTGTGAACAAGGAAAGGGATGGTTCGCCAGAGAAAGTCGGGTTCAGGCTGGAAATCGGCGTCGAAAATGGCGACGTAATCACAGTGCTTCACGTAGCTGCGCTTCATCCCTTCCTTGAGCGCCCCTGCTTTGTACCCGTTCCTGTTGTCCCTGATTTCATACTTTATGTTGATCCCCTTGCTCGCCCACCTCTGGCACTCCAACTCCACCATGTCCTTTTAAAAATACCCAAGATCATAAATTTGAAGCATAAGTGTTGAGAAATCTAAAGAATGAAATTTGTTTTTTTTTTTTTCTTTTACCTTGATTATGGGGTCGGTTGAATCGTCGAGCACTTGGATGATGATCCGATCAGACGGCCATGAAAGACCACATGCAGCTCCGATTGAAAGCTGATAAACCTGTAATGAATGGAACAGAAAACAGAGTTTTCGAAAAATGGTCTTGATGAAACAGGGGAGGTGTTAAAAGGGAAGGAGAAAAGAACCTCTCGTTCGTTGTACATTGGGATTTGAACCAGAACCATGGGGTAGGTAGAGTTCCCAAATTCAACATCGTCTTTTATCGGCTCCCACTTGTACCGCTTCTCCGGTTTCCGACCGAACAGCTTCACTAGAACAATGACGATGCCCATGTACACCCTCTCTATAAAAAGCATCAAGGACATGATCAAGCAAGCCGTGACGGAAAGTTTAAGTAAGGGTACGATCAATGGCGCTCTGATCTGACCCCAAATCAAACCCATTTGCATCGAGAAATCATCTCTGGCTCCCTGAAATGCATCAGGAAGTACAGTCGTGGACGACAGCCGATCCATTTAAGTAAAATTAAAAACGGAGCTGAAACAGGGGAGAAGAAAGTGGGAGAGATAAGACTACTCGGACTAATAATGAGTGCCGGTTTTGAAGAAAACACACTAGATCTGTGTAGATATAAAGGACATTCTTGGGCAGAAGAGTAAGAATACGTTTCTCTTTGTTTCTTTTTTAATTTACTTCCGGTGTACGCAAAACAATAGAGATTGAAAACAGAGCTGGAATGTCAGTCACTGACTCAAACCCCACGACCCCTTAAAAAAAAAAAAAAAAACTAGAAATAAGTCATTCTAGATCTTAATCTAAGAACCCGTTAAGCAAACAGCTTACCTTCCTCTTTCTGCTTCTGTATTCAGAAGAAAACAGAAGCAGAGTTGAAAACAGAAAGGGAGGAAAACCTGAAAAAAGAAAAGAAGAAAATGAGAGGTAAGAGAGAATGAGGGAGACTGTGTCTTATATAAGCTCTGCTGTCTTTGGGTGGCGTTCTCTGTTCTTATGTTTATTTATTTAATTTTTTTTACCTTCTTTTCTTTTTCTCTTTTTTTTTTTTTAACGGGATATAAATGAGAGGATGGGGGTTTGATCCCAAACTAAGGATTGGGAGATGCACTTTTAAAAAGGTTTAAAGTTATTGGACTAATAGACCCAAGTGCCTTTCTCTCTCTTTTAAAGAATGTTTTTTTCAGACATTTTAATAAAAGAAAAATCCGAGATATGAAAACACAAATGTTATTAATAAACATTCGCACATCACTGTTTATTAAAGTTATTTTAATTTTTCTTAAACTCTAAATTAAAAGTGATGAAACTAAAAATAGATTAATAATAAGATTTGAGTCTTTTTTTTTTCTAATAAAGAGAGGGTCTTTAAACTTTTTTTTATTGTAAAAGCTTCCTATCGATCTATTTATTTTTTATTTTTTATGAGCCATGGTAGGACCTCCGCAACCATGGCTTAATGTGGTTTCGTGACGGCAAATTAATGTTTTTAAATACATAATGAACTGAGAAGAAGGGGTTTTTGTTTTTTTAACGTTTGTGTTCTTTTTACCATTAAAGGAAATGTTTGTGTTCTTTTCAGCTACTTGATTTATCGGTTTATAGTACTCGCAACTATTACAACTAAACTTTGGTGTGGCTGGTATAAGACAAGTTAAGGCATGGTGAAACTTTGGTCGGTGGCCACGGCCGGCAAGTTACATCACATTCCGGTGGTGTAGGGTTGATATCCTTTTCTAACTCCATGATCGACTTGGGTACGGTTTATAGGCTATTGTATTATAATTGAGATTTAAATGCATTACTCTATTTTCAACAATTTATTCTCTTTATTTATTTTTTCAATAATACAATTATAGGCCCAAATTGTTTGGAGCAAACCATTAAATAAAATTCAAAGGAAAAAATTAAAAAAAAAAAAGAGAGGAGGAAAGTTGAGTGGCCCCAAATTTTCATGTTGATGGAAAATGAAAACGAAAGCGTTTTCTTTTGTCATATTCGTGTACATAACAGGCCACAACCGACGTTTCTTGCATTGATTGCCTTTAATTTATAATTTAAAAAGTGCTTTTTAAGGTTAAATTACATATATAAAAGTGTAATTTTTAAATATTAAAAGCATTAAAATACTTTTAATGTAATATTAAAATTTTATTAATTCATTAATACTAATTTAATAAGATTTTCAAAAGAGGAGTGAGGGGTTATAATAGAAGAAAGGCATGAGGAAACAAAATTAGCTTACATATCACTGTTGATACACGGTTTTACTTAAATCTTTTTAAAGTTTTTATAAAAATCATTAAAAGTCTTAATTCTTTTTAAAGCATTTATGAAGATCATTAAAAGTTTAATCTAAAATGATTTTAACTTTTTAAGTTTGTCTGGGTGTAAGCAATGAATTTAGGAACATCCAAGCAAATTTGAAGTATCGAACAAAAAACAAAACTAATTAATGAATGAAAGAAAAGGATTACAGTTTCTTAAACACCAGACATTTAAAGCACTTGAATAAAAAAAGACTTAAATGAACCAATGTGCACATGTTTATCCATCATTGTTTTGAGCAAATACGCACTCAGGCCATTGGTTTTGGAAAATGATAAAATATAAGTACGCAACACTTATAATTAGGGATTTGTTGTCTATGTTATTCATACTAATTATTTTTTACATAATATTTTATTCAAAAATATAGCACAGTGTATCGTAGCACAATAAAATACTAACATACACAACCTACATTTATTATGCCAAAGAAATTTTAAATTCAAAATATATATATATTTTAAATATTTAGTTATGAGATCAGCTCGAAATGTTGCGCTTGAAAAAAATGATATGAATCTTACAAGAGTAACTAAAATCACTTGACCCACTGAATCAGATTCAAATTCGAAATTTAGATTTAACATGTAGATGATATGAAAATATTATTTTTATTTAATAACTTCCTGACACAATAAAAAATACTTTCAAAAAATATTTCATTGGAAATCATATCAATGGTAATTATCATAAAAAATACTTATTGGATGAAACATAATTAACCAGAACCATGTCCCCATATACGGTTCAAGCATAATTCAACACAAACCACCCAAAGTAGGAACATGCATGTTTTGTTCCTCTTCTAATAAATTTATATATATTTTGTGGCACATGCTCGCTTTCATAGTTTTTAGAGCAAACGATTGACGTCTAAATTAAAAAAACTAAAGAAAAGGAAAAGAAAAGCAATCTTCTAAGAAATACAGCTGGACGAAATGTGGACTGCTCAACTACTGCAATACATTCTGAGCCCAGGGGGCTGTGCGCTCCCTATCCAATCCGTGTGCGGTTTATTAACAAATAATAATCATAATTACATGGTTGTGATTTCATGTGTCCCGATCGAGTTTCATCAGGGTGCATCATATACATACATATATATATACACACATATATATAAAATTTTATAAGTTAAGTTTGAATTTAAATCTTAAAATTGTTGTATATATTTCATCAAAATTTGAGTAAGAAATCTTTAACTTAAGTTTTTATCCTTTATTTATTGATAAATTCAACTTTTTTATTAAATAACTTGTTTTTCAAGTTGAATTGTATAATAAAAACATGATTTAATTTATAAATTTATTAAAATAATTTTAATGATAATCTTCTCAATATTATGTCATTAATAGCATTTTAATAATTTTAATATCTTGCATATTACATTTTTAATATGCAATCTGATCTAAAAATCATGTATCTCTTTTGTAAATTTTGTCTTTCCCATAAGAAAGTTGCAAATTGGTTTCAGATTTTCTTAATAATTATGTCCTTGATGATTGTTTAAATTAATAACTTTACATAACAAAATTATATGTCATAAGAAATTAAAGCATTCACTATAAAATTCAACTGTAACCTATGTCAAATTAAACCTTATTTGACATGTTAGATATTCTTTCTGGGTTTGATAGGTAGCAACAAAGTACATAATTCTTAGGCTAGCTTGAAACCATTGGTTTTGTGGAGCATAACCCTTTTGCTTTGATTAACTGCTTTGAATCCGTTGAAGATCTATGATTGCCAAGAATTTGATTGATAATGCCAATTGTGAATTTCACTCATTGGGTACTCTAACTTCTAAATGCAGGACGTTGTTGGGCCAAGTGCCTGAATTGCAGTTCAATCACATTTTCAGGGAAGCAAATGCTGTTGCTGACTATCTAGCCAAAATAGGAGCCAAGTCAGATTATCCTTTTGTTGTGTACTATCAATGCCCTACTGAACTTACTATTTTGTATTCCAAGTGCTTAAGAATTCTTTTGAAAGCACTAAATAAGCTTCCGACGTGTCTTTAAGAATTAAGATCATTCAAGTTAGTCTTAAATTGTGTATAAATTAGTCTGAAAATATCTTTATTATTAAAAAAATCAAACACTTATGTTCTATTATTATTATTATTATTATATAAAATTACATAATAGTTAAGTTGTATGGTATATAATAAAAATACATATAAATTATGGTGAGAAAAGCAGATGGCCCCACCAATATTCAATCCCCTTCTCATGGACATAAACAATTCCACAACACGGCCATATATGTGACTTGTAACCATATTGTATATTGGACATCACATTTCTCTGCTTAATCATCATCATCCACATCCTCAATTTACAGGAAATCAAATCCAGTAGGTAAAGTGTTTTGTTCTTCGTATTGACCAATTTGCAAGCAAGATTAGTAATTTCTTGAAGAGGACTCCAGAAGAGATAATTTTTCAAAATTTTGCTAGTGCTTAGTAAATGAATAAGCCGGCATGAAAATTATCTTTTGATTAAAATTGTATACAATTTTGCATATAATTGGTCTGTTTTGTAAAATGAAGACCTAATTCTTCTAAAACTTACAATACATGACATTTTCTCATTGGGTGATGCATTCAGAAACACGCATGGTTTGGAAATTGGAATCATTTTAAGATGCTAAAGGAAATGTTGTGACTTGAAAGAGGATTTCTTTTCTTTAACGCTATTACAAATTATAAATTTAATTAGGCCATAAAACTGACATAACACAAAACGTTTTTTTTTTTAAATTCAGCCAACAAATAAAGAGTCTATGGTGGTGGTTGGTTTTCTTTTTCTTTTCATAGTATGTATTCTCTTTTTTCATTTTTTCTTCCATTTTAAAACAAAATCACACTTATAATATCTTCTCTCAAAATAAAGATATTTAATTGTTTACACATAAATAATGTTATACAATGTGAGCTGCATTGGATTGTATAATTTAAATTATTAGATGGAGAACAAGTTGTCTGATATTAAGAGGTTATATATCTTCTTGTTCAATTGTTTTTGTTTTGTAGTCCAAATTATAAAATATGAATATATCAAACTATAAAATAAAAATATAGCAGATTACAAAACAACGAACTCTTTTTTTTATATAATACTACATTCCCCATAAAAGATGTTAATTAATCTAATATCAATCACAATATACATAATTATTGATATCAAAATTAAATTGTTATGTGTATATATTGACAAGATTATGGTGGCTAAAGCAAAAGATTTAAATGGTTGGTGGGCATACGAAGGCAAAGGCCAAAGAGTGATATCGTACCATCCAACTTTGGTTTCCCATTCTTTCTGGAAAACAACTCATGTTA